CTTATTTGCTTACCACCAAAGCCTTCATCCTCTTTTTTTTTTTTTTTTTTTTTTTCATTTTTTCTTTTATTATTCATATGTGCATACAGGCTTGGTTCATTTCTCCCCCTTGCCCCACCCCCTCCCTTACACCCACTCCACCCCCTCCCGCTCCCCCCTCAATACCCAGCAGAAACTATTTTGCCCTTATTTCTAATTTTGTTGTAGAGAGAGTATAAGCAATAATAGGAAGGAACAAGGGGTTTTGCTGGTTGAGATAAGGATAGCTATACAGGGCATTGACTCACATTGATTTCCTGTGCGTGGGTGTTACCTTCTAGGTTAATTCTTTTTGATCTAACCTTTTCTCTAGTTCCTGGTCCCCTTTTCCTATTGGCCTCAGTTGCTTTAAGGTTCTGCTTTAGTTTCTCTGCATTAAGGGCAACAAATGCTAGCTAGTTTTTTAGGTGTCTTACCTATCCTCACCCCTCCCTTGTGTGCTCGCTTTTATCATGTGCTCATAGTCCAATCCCCTTGTTGTGTTTGCCCTTGATCTAATGTCCACATATGAGGGAGAACATACGATTTTTGGTCTTTTGGAGCCAGGCTAACCTCACTCAGAATGATGTTCTCCAATTCCATCCATTTACCAGCGAATGATAACATTTCGTTCTTCTTCATGGCTGCATAAAATTCCATTGTGTATAGATACCACATTTTCTTAATCCATTCGTCAGTGCTGGGGCATCTTGGCTGTTTCCATAACTTGGCTATTGGAATAGTGCCGCAATAAACATGGATGTGCAGGTGCCTCTGGAGTAACAGTCTTTTGGGTATATCCCCAAGAGTGGTATTGCTGGATCAAATGGTAGATCGATGTCCAGTTTTTTAAGTAGCCTCCAAATTTTTTTCCAGAGTGGTTGTACTAGTCTACATTCCCACCAACAGTGTAAGAGGGTTCCTTTTTCCCCGCATCCTCGCCAACACCTGTTGTTGTGGTGTTGCTGATGATGGCTATTCTAACAGGGGTGAGGTGGAATCTTAGTGTGGTTTTAATTTGCATTTCCTTTATTGCTAGAGATGGTGAGCATTTTTTCATGTGTTTTTCTGGCCATTTGAAATTTCTTCTTTTGAGAAAGTTCTGTTTAGTTCACATGCCATTTCTTTATTGGTTCATTATAGTTTTGGGAGAATTTAGTTTTTTAAGTTCCCTGTATATTCTGGTTATCAGTCCTTTGTCTGATGTATAATTGGCAAATATTTTCTCCCACTCTGTGGGTGTTCTAGCCTTCATCCTCTTTGACGATACCCATAGACTAGAACTTCTCAAGACCTGTGTATCAGACACAGGAGAGAGCTTCAGAATTCTCTGTTCCTTGCCTCCCCCACCACTAGGGGAGCTCCTCTGGAGCTGGGGAAGAGAGCACTAGCCCATTTTTCTTGTATGTACACTCCATCTTTGTGAGCGAGACACTGGGCAGAGGTGGAAGCCCTGGTCACCTTGGTTTACTTAGACTGGCATGGAACGGATAATCTGGGATGAGTACGCTAAGGGCCCCAAGCTGCTGGCCTAGGTTAGAACTGTTGCTCTGTGAGTAGCTTATGGATAGAGTTTTTAACCGAGATGGAGGGTTTCTTCAGTGTTTCTTCTTCTCTTGGATACCCTAAGGACAGTTTCCTGCTACCTTAAGTGGTTGTTTTTAAAAACATTTTCACCAGTATAGTTTCTTTGAGGGACAGGTAGAGCTCTTCACACCGATAATCTGGAAGTCATTCTTCTCCTAGGTGTTGTCAGAGTCCAAACCAGGAGTTAGGACAGTTTTTAAAAATATCTTCTAAGTGACCATATAATGTTTATTTTCCTTTATAAAATTTTACAGCATTTACTAGTTCTATATGAATATGTTTTATAATTTAAGTGTAAGTTAATAGCTGTGAACCCAGATTTCTTTTTTTTTTTTTTTTTTTTTGTGGCAGTACTGAGGTTTGAACTCTGGGCCTCATGCTTGCTAGGCAGGTGCTCTATCACTTGAGCCAGTCCTTTTTTGTGTTGAGTATTTTCCAGATAAAGACTCTCAAACTATTTGCCTAGGCTGGCCTTGAATGGTGATCCTCCTGATCTCTCTCTCTCTCATGTAGCTAACTAGGATTAGAAGCATGAGCTACTGGCCTGGGTTGTTTTTTTTTTCGGGGGGGGGGGGGGCGGGGGGCAGGGCCAGGACTGGGGTTTGAACTCAGCTTCACACTTGCAAAGCAGGCATTCTACTACTTGAGCCACACCTCCAGCCCATTTTGCTCTGGTTATGTTGGAGATGGGGTCTCACAAACCATTCACCTGGGCTGACGTCAAACCACGATCCTCAGCCACCCTGAGTAGCTAAGTAGCTAGGATTACAGGCATGAGCCACTGACACCCAGCCATATTTCTTTTTCTTAAAAAATATTTAGGCATGAAATGCATCTTTAATAATTCATATTCTCTTTTTTCTTTCCTGCACGTGTTTTGGAAAATAAAAGCTGTTGATAATAGGAAAACCTTAAGACCTTCAGAAAAAAATAATTAAGGCTACTTGGCCTTAAAATACACCAGCACCCTTAAATGCTTTATACCTGATAAAATATTAGGGACATTACATTGAATAAAGAAAACACCTGCATTATTTTATACACCTCGTGTAATAGTAGGTACTGTTTAATGTCTTCTTACTGTTCCCTTGCTTCTTTTGATAGATGCTTTGTTTGCTGTGCTCTGTTGTAGATGAGGTGAACACTAAGGCATTTTCTTCCAGACTTTGTCCAGTATTATTGTAAGACTTAGGACCAGCTGCCTACCACTTGAAAGCCCATACCTACACATAACAATTGGTAGGAAGGAGATTAGTTTTATTTAGGGACTTGTACCCCAGAAGATAGAAGGGCTTATCATCCTCAAAGCTACATCTTAGCTCAGGAGCAAGCACAAAGGGCTCCTTAGGGAGGGAAAGGGGGAGCAGGATGCAATGGTCAGGAAGACTGTATGCTGAGTTGTGCATCCAGACTCGGTAACCATCTCTGTCTCTCAAGGGACCTTTTTCTTTCTCTTTTCCCTATTGGAACATCCTTGCTATAATAGTCAACCATCCTCTTCTAGGCAACTCTTTGTAATAAACACGTTTTCCTGTAAATTAAGCAGTTACCTATACTTCTGCTTTTAGTTAAAGAATAGGATTAGCAACTTAAGTGTTTTGTGTTAGATGATGCACATTTTGATATCTGAAGGTTATTAGATGTCCTAGATTCTGTAAATCCAGATAAGAGTTGTTAATTAGTAAATTTTGTGGCTTATATCCTTTTAGTTTCTTTTCCTAGGAACAGAGTGTTTTTGCATTGTTTTGTGTGTTACTGGGGATTGAACTCAAAGCCTTGTACTTGCTAGACAAGTGCTCTACTGTTTGAGCTACACCCCCAGGAATAATTAACCTTGCAGTTAACATAGAGAGCAGAGGAGGACAACAGAAAGCAACTTTTTCTAGTGAACAACTTTAATCCCTTTTAGGCACTTTCAGTCAGAGGTATCATCTACACCAGAGCTAGTAGGAGACTAATAATATGTTGCTCAGCTGTGTGATCTCCAAAATTAGTGCTTTTTAAAGTCAACTAAGAACAAATGAAGGTCTGGGGATGTATCTCAGTGGTAGAGTACTTGCCTAGCTTGTGCAAGGCTCTGGGTTTGAGCCCCAGCACCATAAGAAAACAAAAACAAACAAGAAACATTGTCACCAGGTGCCAGTGGCTCATGCCTATAATCCTATCTACTAAGGAGTCAGAGATCAGGGGGATCATAGTTTGAGGCCAGCCTGGGCAGTAGTTCATGAGACCCTATCTTGAAAATATCTAACACACGAAAAGGTTGGTGGCATGACTCAAGTGATAGAGCACCTGCCTAGCAAGCTCAAGGCCCTGGTTCAAACACCAGTACTGCCAAAAAACAAAACAAAAAATCTTACTGTCTAAAAGCAAATAACACTAGAGGATTTATTTAGGTTTTCCCTCAGTAATAGTGTCTCTTTTATATTTATGATTTGTGGTGTTATCTCCTGCCTCCATTTCGTAGTCCCATAAATGCAGTATTTGTCAGTTGCCTGTATGTAAAAGGGCTTTGGACAAATTTTATTGATTCTTCTTGTTTCAGTGACCAGGGGATTTTTTACTTATTCATTTAGCCCAAGCTCTGCCCATCAGACCTTTCCAACACCTGTCTCTCTTCCTTCTTGACAGATGTAAGGGTGTGATTCTAAGGCATAAATGTACTTTGACTCAACTTTCTGTGTCTTTCTAATGCTATATTTCTATAAAGACTCCTAATAACAATTCAGCTAATTTAACCTCATGTTTTTATTACGTTATTCTTGGTTTTTACTTTTTCAGATTATCCTCAACAGGTGTAACTTGAAGTTCATGTATTTTAGAAGTATTCAAAAATAACTCTGAATACTAGACTTTGGTTTGAAGAAGATTCAAAACTGTGAAGAGATTACTTTTTTTTTTTTTTAGACATGGTCTCACTATATTGCTGAAGCAATATAGTCTCAAGTTGGCTTTGAACTTACAATCTTCTTGCCTCAGCTTCCCCAGTGCTAGGATTATACATACACACCACCACACCCAGCTCTAAAATATTTTTAGTGGAAATATATCAAATTTTCTTATTTTAAAACTAATACAGGGGCTGTAGAGCACATAGCCCTGAGTTCAAACCCCAGTACTGCCACAAAAAAAAAAAAAAAAAATAAAAAGAGAAAAGTGAGTGTGTGTGTGTGTGTGTGTGTGTGTGTATGTGTGTGTGTGTATGTATGTGTATGTCTTGGGCTGGTGGAGTGGCTCAAGCTGTAAGAGCACCTGCCTAGTGAGTGTTAGGTCCTGAGTTCAAACCCCGGTACTGCCAAAAAAAAAAAAAAAAAAGTTAAAGTCTCCTTATAATCTCACCTCCAGATAGGAACATTATCAGGGTAATGCAACATTTTGCAAAATCTTTATTCTAGCTCCTGCAGGAGCCTGTGGCGTTGTACTGGCACTGCCAGCAGGAACAGCAGCAAGTTCCAGGGCTGTCCTCTTCACTGTGGGGTCTCCTCCACACAGTACCATGGCCCCTACTTGTACCCATATGGTCCTACGAACAAGAGCCACCTCAGGTGAGGAACATTTGTCCTAGTGTAATATGTGGCTAGTATCTGGAGTGTGGTGTTCTGATAGTGAGGCTATGTTAAGCTTAGATTAGTCACTTAACTTCCAGTGAAGTGGACATGGATGTGGGTGTTTCCTTCCCTTAAAGGGTTATAACATTGTGAGGAAAAACTTTATGAAGTAAAAGTGTTATATATAACATGTATATTAATCTATAAATATACACTATATACGTTACATATGTTCACATGTAATGTAACAATATAAATATGACTTTTCCATGAAGAAACAACTACGTATCTATAGTGTTTCTCAGGTTATGTGTTGAAATCCTATTTTGGTATATCCAGCAAATTATTTGAAAATGATATACTGTTTTTGTTTTATCTTTTAGAAACTTAAGTTTTACTTCCTTTTATTTTTGAACTTTGGATCCAAATGTCTAAATTAACCCAATGTATTTTTAGATAGGTTAACAGATATTTTTATTATTTATACTCTATATAAGCAAGTTGTTAATATCAAAAGTTAATTAAGAAAGCATTTAGATTGGACTTGAAATCAATATATATTATCATATGTATCATACCTTGTGTCTTTTAAGTTCTCCTTTTCTAAATAAGTTGCTAATCAAGCTATCAGTAGATTAATAAGAAAAATATAGAAATAGATAATAGGAAATGAGCTAAAACCTTATTTTTAAACTAACAAATAAGAAAATACCATTTTTTAAGTGTAACTAACACCAGTGTTGTAGAGGTTTAGTGGTATCTGTGCCTAATGCTGCTTTAGAAAGTAATATGGCAGTACGTAGGAACAGCTGCAGAAATGTTTTAATGTTTGAACTATGGGAATACCATTCCTATTTATAATACACTTTGGAGTACTTATCACATGGTAATCATTCAAAAGAAGTAAAAGCTTTGTACATTTCATTGCACATTGGTATTTGTAGTACAAAAAATCAGAAGTACTGTAAATGAATCCATATAAACATTATGTATTTAAAGTTAGTGAACCACTGTGCATCAATTGAATTTCATAATTATGAGGCCTATGGAGCAGCAAGGAAAAATGTATATGATATAAATTGCATATGCTATAAATTTGTTTAGAACAGTATATAAGAAAGCTGGCTATGGTGACTTGTAAAACATGTATGAATAAAGAAGAATGAACATGGAAAAATATGCTCAAATCAAGTGAGGGATCAGGGATTTTTCTTTGAATGTTTCCTTTATTAGGAGGAGTAATGGGTTTGAAAGCTCCTCGAACCTAACCCTGGCCATGGTGCTCTGTGTCCTGTGTTTCCTTGCAGTTGGGTCCAGTAGCTTGGGAGGCTCCCTTTGCTCTGCGAGTGGCCGTGTGTGTATGGGCTCGCCGCCTGGGCCAGGCTTGGGTTCTTCCCCTCCAGGAGCAGATGCAGCTCCCAGTCTGAGATATGTGCCTTATGGTGCTTCACCTCCCAGCCTGGAGGGGCTCATCACCTTCGAAGCCCCAGAACTACCAGAGGAGACACTGATGGAGGTAGCACAAAGACCACCATGGTGTGTTAATATCATGTTGATGTGAATGTTCTAGTGATGACAGAAGAACAAAATACATCAAATAATTCTGGAGATACTTTTTTTTTTTAAGTTTTCTATTTAAAAAAATGCTGGCCTATTTTCACAATCTTGACTGACACTCCATAGCAGCCTTTGAACGTAGGAAGTGACACATAGTTTATGTATTTCTTATTAAAAGTTTCTTTACTATTTGTTTTATTTTTATTTATTTTATTTTATCTTACTAGTTTTTAATTTCATGCAGTGTCTCACTGTGTAGCCAAAGCTGGTCTCAAACACCTCAGCTTCCCAAGAGCGAGGATTACAGGCCTGCACTACCCACACCTGAATCTATTTGTAGGATTTTTTTTTTTTTGGTGTGTGTGTTGTACTGGAGTACAACTTGGTTGAGCAGGTGCTCAACCACTTGAGCCACGCCCCCACCCGTTTTCTTTTAAATAAATTTTTTGAATAGAGTCTTGTGTTTTATCCCAGGCCAGCCTAGACTGCGATCCTCCTGTTTGTACCTCCTATGTAGCTGAGATGACAGGTGCTTGCCACCACACCCAGCTTATTGGTTGAGATGGAGTCTTGCTAACTTTTTGCCTGGGCTGGCCTCAAACTGTGATCTTCCCAATCTCCACCTCCTGAGTAGTTGGGGTTCTAAGCATGAGCCACCATGCTCAGCCCCTCCAGCCCTTTTCACTTTAGTTATTTTTCAGAGAGGGTCTCGTGCTTTTTGCCCAGACTAGCCTCGGACCTCAGTCCTCCTACCTATTCCTGCTGTGCAGCTGGAGTTACAAGCATGCCCACCTTGTTCTTTTAAATAAGGTCTTACATTTTCCCCCCCAGGCTGGCCTCAGACCACAGTCCTGCTATATCTGCTATATCTGCTTCTTAATTAGCTGAGATGACAAGCTATGAGCCACTGTGCCTGACTATTTTTTTTTTTTTTTTTTTTTGAGATAGGGTCTCACTCTGTAGCCCACACTAGCCTCAAACCCATGATCTTCCTACCTCTACCTCCCACATGCTAGAATTGCAGGAGTGTGCCAGCACACCCAGCTATTTGTAGGATTATTTTTTTTCAGTACTAGGAATTGAATTCAGTGTCTCACAACTTGCTAGGCAAACACTCTACCGCTTGAGTCACACCCCCAGTCCTTTGGCTTTAAGGTTGGTTTTCAGATAGTCTCTCATTAACTTTTTTCTTTTTTCTCTACATGGGGCATATTTTTTGTATCGCTGACTTTTTGCCCAGGCTGGTCTCAACTGTGATTCTCCTACTTCTGCCTCCCAAGTAACTGGATTACAGGTGTGTGTTAATCACACCCAGCTTATTCATAGAATTTTTAAAGTGCAGTCTTTGCTCTAAAAACATTTTTTTGTTAAAAAATAACTTTTTATCCTAGTAAAAAATAATGTACTTAAACCTAGGTTTAAAATGTAATGTCAGGAAAGACCCTGTCTCAAAAAAAAAAAAAATTAACTGTGCCAGATTAGTCAATAACAAAGAAATGACCTGCCAAGCACATTGGCTACTTGTATTTGTAGATCATTACCCTCTCTGTATGGGTCCAGTTCTACAAAGTCTAAGGGTGCTCAGCACCAGTCCAGAACTACAGAGGTTCGTTTTTTTTATTTCAGACCTGTGCCCACTTGGTTTCTCAGGACAACACTCAGTGCAGTAATGTGTCCTCAGTCCCTGGATGCCTGGGTTTTAAACTTTGTTAAGTTAAAGTAACTCTCCATGCCAACTAAAGAAGAAATTTTCTCCCCATGGAAGACTGCTGACATTTCTAATTGTGTGTGAATAAGACTTAAATATTTTACATAAAAGTTAGAAAATATTGCACACAAAATTTTAGTAGTAGTTTTGAAATGTCTAAACCAGTCTAAAGTTGGAAACAGTCCTGAACTCGTTCAGCCTTCATCAAGTTAGGTGTAAAGTATGCTACAGCATGTGTTCCAGTGTATTGGAAGAGTCCAATCTTTGGTCATAGAGCAAAAAAACAAAAATTCAGTACTTTATCCTCCTGTCTCTAGGAAAATGGTTTTCTTTTAACCATAAAAGGAGGGAAACTTTTAGTCTCATTTGAGATTTCAAAATTCATTTATAACTAAAGATAAATCTCAAAATTAATTTTAGAATATCTGTTTATGTATTTTGACTGTACTAAGGTTTGAACTCATGGCCTTGTGCTTGCTAGGCAGTCACTCTACCTGTTGAACCACTCCACCGCCCATAGAATGTCCCTTTTAAAATGACGTCCTCAGAATGCTGTTATGTACTTCTGTCTGGATAGGTTACAAAAATTAATGCATTGTTATTAAAAATCACTGTTAACAAAATTCACAAGAAACTAAAGAATGTTTGAAAAGTTAAGTCAGTAGAATTTACTGAACCTGTTAAGAAGTGTGATTTAAGAGCCAGACATGGTGGCAAGCACCTTGAAGTCCTAGCACTGGGAAAGCAGAGGCTAGAGAATCATGAGTCTGGAGCCATCCTGGGCTACGAAAATGAGATCCCATCTCAAAAAGAAAAAAGTGTGGTGTACTCCAAAGAAGATCCTTGTAATCTTGATATCTATCTTGTCATGTTTTTGTCTCATGTGTTGATCTAACCATTTTTTTTCTGGTAAAAACACAATGATCCTCTTCAGAGCTTACTTATGAGTGCTCTGATACATGCACAGAAACATGCACTCCCCCATATTTGGTTTCATTTGTGGTACTTGTTTTTCATTTTTGGTGATACTGGCATTTGAAGTCAGGGGTTCATGCTTGCTGTGACGGTGCTCTCCCACTTGAGCCACCCTCCTAGCTCTTTTTTTTGTGTTGGGTATTTTTGAGATAGGGTCTCAATTTTTTTGCCTGGGCTAGCCTCAAGCCTCAATCCTCCTGATCTCTGCCTCCTGAGAAACTAGGATTATAGGTGTGAAACAGCTGATGTGTGTTTATTCTCTCAACAGTTTTCTGAAATTTAAAAATGTGAGTCTCTTTGACATTTATAAGTATAGGAAACATATATACAGAATATACACAGAGCAGGCAGAGTGGCTGATGTTGTAGGGTACCTGCCTGGCAAGCAAGAACTCCCCTTCCCCCTAAAAAAGCAAAATATACACAGAAATCCTTAATCTGACATGTTCTAAGACACATTGCCTTTGCTGCAGCGAGAGCACACAGATACCTTACGCCATCTGAATGTGATGCTGATGTTCACTGAGTGTGTGCTGGACCTGACAGCCTTGAGGGGAGGAAACCCTGAGCTGTGCACATCTGCAGTGTCCTTGTACCAGATTCAAGAGAGTGTGGTCGTGGACCAGATCAGCCAGCTAAGCAAAGACTGGGGGTGAGTACCTCCTCTGTCCTTCATTTCCAGATTTCTCATGCTTTCTGTAAACTTGAGTTTAACAAGTAAGCAGTATCATCTGCTGAGAGTCCTATTTCATTATTAAAATTTGCAAGGGAATCTCAAAGTTATTTTATTGTGTAAGATGTCTCTGTATGAACCAAGAGTTTATCATGCAACCTTAATATTGCCTTTTCCCTGTGAATTATACTATTAAAAATACTTTATGATAAGGAGATGCTATGGATTTTTTAGTATTTCCGTTGCATTCAAAGTTCATGCATCTTTCTCTATGTCACGTCCTTCAGGAGTTATATGTGCATTAAAAAAAAGTCAAGGATGAGCCTATGCTTGTAATCCCAACACTCAGGAGGCTGAGGCAGGAGGATTACAAGTTTGAGGCAAACCTGGGCTACACAGAGAGACCTTCTCTAAGGAGAAAGGGAGAGAGGGAGAGAGACTGGGCATAGTGTCTCAAACCTATAATCCTACTTACTCAGGAGGCAGAGTCAGAAGGGTCATGGTTTGAGGTCATTCTAAACAAAAGTTACAGAGATCCTATCTCAACAAACTAGCCAAGCTTGGTGGTGCACTTTATAATCTCAACTATGCAGGAAGTAGAGTTAGGAAGATATGGTCTGAGGCCAGCTTCACGCAAAAAAATAAAATAAGGCTCAAGACCCTATCTGAAAAATAACAAAAGAAAAAAAAAGGAGAACAATACCTCCTAAGAAAGGTTGTTTGAATGGTGACCTGTTAGGTACCACGGAGCCTGGTGGGTTGGTTCACAAGGTAACACTATGCTTCTGTCTTCCCATGCAGGCGGGTGGAGCAGCTGGTATTATACATGAAAGCAGCACAGCTACTTGCAGCTTCCCTGCATCTTGCCAAAGCCCAGATCAAGTCCGGGAAACTGAGCCCGTCCACAGCTGTGAAACAAGGTACAGGAGCAGATGGCAACATGTGACTCCAGAGGCCCTGGAGTCATCTCTTCCCATCCCACCAAGATAGTTTCTGATGGGGAATCACTGTATTACTCATGATTCTTGTTTGTTTGTTTGTTTGTTTGTTTTCAGTGCCGGGGATTACATCTTGAGCCACTCCACCAGCCCTTTCTGTATTAGGTGTTTTCAAGATAGTGTCTCATGAACTATTTGCCTGGGGCTGGCTTCAGACCACTCAGTCCTCCTGATCTCTGCCTCCTAAGTAGCTAGGATTACAGGTGTGAGCTACTGGCACCTGGCTACTCAGGATTATTAACAGGGAAAATGGTGTGGGTTTTTTTGGTTTTGGCAGTGCTTGGGTTTGAACTCAGGGCTTCATGTTTGCTAGGTAGGTGCTTTACTACTTGAGCCACTCCACCACCTCTGGTTTTCACCATTGACTTTTTTTTTCTTTCTTTTGACACGGATTTGACTGCAGGATCTCACACTTGCTAGACAGGTGATCTACCACTTGAGTCACGCCTCCATTCTCTGTACTTACTTGATACACAAAGAAGTCAGAAGGACTTTTTTCTATCTTTTCATGCTGAATGATCATAGAAACCAATTTCTGGTCTTCTTCTTCAGTGATCATATAGTGTCACTTTCCTTCAGGAAGGGTGTGTGTCACTGTGCTGTTATTTCTGGAGGAAAATTAAAATTAGTTCCCATCTTAACTTTTTTTCAGTTGTCAAAAATCTGAATGAACGATACAAATTCTGCATCACCATGTGCAAGAAACTTACAGAAAAGCTGAATCGCTTCTTCTCTGATAAACAGAGATTTATTGATGAAATCAACAGTGTAACTGCAGAGAAACTCATCTATAATTGTGCTGTGGAAATGGTAACCATTTTAAGTTTAATATTGCATAGCACTGTAGTACTTCCTCTAAGATTTCTTTGGAATTGAATACCTATCTGATATTGTCCTTTAAAAAAGAGTTTATGTCCTCCCCTTCTCAAGCCCTTAGTAAACTGATTACCTCCTACTGAAGGAGTAATTGGACTTAATAACACTTAAGTGATACATATATAGTGAACTTAACTGTAATTTATAAACCTGTTTACCACATTTCGTACTTCTTTGCTAACATTAGGCACGATCTCATTTTTTGTAGTTTGGGTCTAAAAGCGTAGGCTGGATCTATTTCTACATTGTCTTTCACTGAAGAAATTTTGACTTGATAAAATTGTTAGGAAAAAAATACTGCTTTTTTAACAGTATTTTTTTGAAGTACAGACACCAAGTAACATCTGCTTTTTTAATTGTCTGCAGTAATATCTGTTCTGTTTCTATTGCTCTGAAGCATATATATATTAAGTGGGAAAAATTTACTGACTAATATTATTTTTACCACATTAACATGGTAAATCTCCCCCCATTTGTGTACTTGGAATTGTCTTGTACCCATGACCTTATTTTGAAAGCCATTAAAATAGTGGTCATGTGAAAATAATTTTGGAACATAAACTAACAATAGTATGTTATATTATTCTTACATTGCTCTAAATTGTTGATAGGCATAATATGCATTATATAGAAAAAAATGTTCTATCATAAGGAGCTATATTGCTTCTTTCCTTTTTTGATAATAACACTATAACTTTAGTAGTTTCTGTCTTCCTACATGGTTAAGTAGGCTTTTATCATTTCATTAAAGTATGTACATTTTAGGTAGATGCTGCATTAGAGCTGCATTGCCCAAATGTATTTGTATTTTCTTGGAAAAGTTGAGAATCTTCTTGTTTTTATTGACTGGTTCCAGGTTCAGTCTGCAGCCCTGGATGAAATGTTTCAGCAGACTGAAGATATTGTTTATCGCTACCATAAAGCAGCCCTTCTGTTAGAAGGCCTAACTAAGATTCTACAGGACCCTGCAGATATTGAAAATGTACATAAATGTAAGCTGACTTACACAGTAGTCTCCCCTTATCCACAGTTTTGCTTTCTAGTTCCTTTTAACCAAGGTCAACCAAGGTCCAGAAATATTAATGGAAAACTCCAGAAATAAACAAACCATAAGTTTTAAATTTTGCATTATTCTGAGTAGTGTGATGAAATCTTGAGCTTTCCCACTCCATGCCATGTGACTCATCCCTTTGCCCAGTGTATTCATGCTATATATGCTACCCATCTGTTAGTCACTTGGCAGCAATCTTGGTTATCAGATCTCCTGTCTTGATATTGCAGTGCTTCTAGATAAGAGTTTGGTATTATCTGTGGTTTCAGATATCAACATGGTTGTGGGGATGTGAGGAGTGTTGGAACAATCCCTTGGGGATAAGGAAGGAGCACCGTATTATTGATTGCAATTTAGTTGTCTGCTATAGGTATAGTCGAAAGAGCTTAGAGTTTGGAATCTTACTGCCTGGGTTGAATCTTAGCTTTCTAAACTTTACTAGATCACTTAACTTTTCTGTGCTGTCAGTTCTTTCTATAAGATGGGATACCTACCTTGCAGATTTGTTTTAAGGATTAATGACAATGCTTGTGAGCATAAATGACTTGTTATTAGTCTTTAGATTTATGTAGTACATTACTTTGTTGGCAAAGTATGTAGGAAGACATTGTTTTTATTACTAACTGCAACTATTTTAAGCCTCCTGGGCTTAGTGACTGAAGAATCCTATAAAGATCCTATGTGGTGCAGATTTGGTGGAGACATGGCAGAGTGGAGGACACCAGGATGATATATTGCTACTATCAGATATGAGCCCAGTAATCTGGTTTTGGGGAATTTGTTTTTGTTTGTGGTGGTACTGGGGTTTATACTCAGGGCCTCACACTTGCTAGGCAGCCACTCCACCAGCCCAGTAATATGGTTTTTGAGGAGTGGTGGTGGACCTCTTGGAGTACACATGATCACAAGGAGATGGCAATCCCAAAGTTATTGACACTTGTAATCAAGTTAGCTATAAAAAATCTAAATGTTCTCTGTGTAAGATGCTTATCTGAATTTTATTACTCTCTTGCTAGCACTAAACTAAAAATCATATCTAAACTATTACCAGGTAGGGGGGAAAAATATGTTCATTTTCTGTTAACTTTTGGGACAAAGATAGAACAGAGATTATGGTTGAGATTTAGTGACTTTTTCCCCTTAGTTCTTCTGTCCTCACTATGAATTTAATTTTTAATTTTATTTCTAGATAAATCTAGTATTGAAAGAAGATTGTCAGCACTCTGCTGTAGCACTGCGACTGTGTGAGCAGCAGGCTTATCTATGGACCACTGTGGGAGCATGAGGTGATGCGTTTGGGATTACAGCTTGGTTCTGTCACCCATCCCCAGGAAACTGGTTTCTTAACTGGTGACTACCAAAGAACAAGCAGTGATTTAAAAAGGAAAAACAATCCAAAACCTACATGTTTGTAGAAAATCTGCCTTATCAGAGAAGTCCCTTTCCCTTTTTCTTTGTAGAAGCAGAAGTAGGAGCATTCCGTTGGCTCCCAGTTTGAACTTGGTAAATAAATGTACCTTAGAACTAGAATCATCAGTACAGTTTTTCTTACGGATAATTAAACATGAAACAAGTAAGTGGCACTTCACTCAGTTCACAGAGCAGTGTGTGAGATTCCATGTTCACTAAATGTGTACAAACAGAAGAGTCAACATTTCATCCTGGCAATTTGATATTTGGAGTGAATTTTTAATTGTTTAAGAAGAAGCAAAATATGATTCTTGGAAGAAATTTTGAAATCTTCAATTTGATCTAATATGGACACTTTAATCTTACAAAATCTTTCATATTGCACTAATTTATTAAAACAGCTGTGTATTGGATTTTGCAACTTAAAACTAACTGAGGCACAATGGACTTGTTTAAAATATTTTACTTATTATATACAAATACCCTTTCTAGAATTCACATGTAATCTCTATTGAACTTTGAAACGGTCATGGGAATTGTGTTCATGTGAACTTTTGCAGGTTTTTTTTTTAAAACCTGTTTGTTCTACACCTGCAGATCTCAGTAATATTTTGAGTTGCTGGCTGTTTGCTTTCATTTGTGTTTTTTGTTGTGCATGCAAAATGTGCATTGATGCCTATGACCTTAGGTTTATTAAAGGCTAGGTTTATTTGGGCAGTGTTAGAAAAGCTATCATGAATCAAGAGATACTCTTGAGAATTTTAAGAGGGCCAAAACAAAGTGATGATTAAAGGCTTGATAGTGATGTGGAGCTTCTGTGTGAAGTTGGTGAGAGATGAGATTTGTTTTCTCATAGGAAAACGGGCAGCTCTCTCCAGCCCAGTGTGTATTTTTAATGTTTATTTTGGCAGTTTGCTGAATAGCCAGTCATGGAGGATACAGGCAGTTAATTTAACATCCCTCCAGGAATGGCTCCTATATTGTATACTTGTTTTCTTTTATTTACCTGCTAGAATACTTGAATAAACCATTCACCAGTTTTAATCCTTTTATTTTAATCCTTTCACATAAAATAATCTGTACTCTGACAACTGCACAGAAGCTCTTTGGCATTACTCTGATTTTAGTGTGCTGATAAAAACTAACAGACAACATTGTTTTCTTTTACTTGGACAAAGTAATGTAATTTTTTACCTTATTTATCTGTATGAAATTTCAGCAGTTAATTTGAACATTTATTTATATGATGTTTGTATTTTTAGGTCTTTAATACAGTGTTTCTACCTCTCATTTGTAACTGCATGCATTATTCTTGAAACTAGGTAAAACTCACTGAATCATTGTGTAATAGCCTTTTTATTATTGCCAGTACAAATGTATATTAAGGTAAAATAAAACTGACAGTGTTTCTAGGTTACAATTGGATCCATATTAAGTGGCTTATCCAGCCAGCTGTTCCCTCAGTGAGTGAGTCTGGAGACTTGGTCATTAATATCCTTTGTCCCGACCCAAGATTTAAGACTCTCAGTGACTGTCACACAGGCTTCCATAAACTCAGACTGTTCAGTGATGATTCCTCCCCCTCCTTGCATTAGCGATACTGTATTTTGTATAGTTTTTTAGGGTTTACAGTGTGATTTCATTTATGTTCTCTCCATTACCCCCTGTGTTATCTTAGTTGATCCTCTTAAGTGGGTAGTTTTATTCTGCCCCCTCCTCTCCCACTTTTTTTAAACACAGGGTGAAGCAGGTTCAGAGAGAGAGTAATTGGTCTGAAGTCAGGAACTAGGCAAGTAGTGAAGCCAGCCTTTGTAACTTCCAAGTTCTTTCTTCTTCTTGTATAACAAAGGTGTTGTAGTAGGCGGTGCCGTGTCAAACAGTGAAGTCTCAACAGCAGCAAATAAACTGTAAATTCATGGGTTCTGATTATACTTCCATTATCAAGGCCAATTGTTTTAAGAGATTTGCCTGGACTTTTTATTTTTTTTAAAAAAATAAAATTTTTTTTAAAGGAATTTTTTTTTTTATAAAAAAAAAAAAAAAAAAAAAAAAAAAAAAAATTTATTTATTATTTTTTTTTTTTTTTTTTTATTTTAAAAAAAAAAAAATTTTTTTTTTTTATTTATTTAAAATAAAACAAAAAATAAAAATTATTTTTTTTTTTTTTTTTAAAAAATTTTTTTTTTTATAAAAATTTTATTTTTTCTTTTTATTTTTAAAAAATTTTTTTTATTTTTTAAAAAAATTTTTTTTAAATTTTTTTTTTATGAACGCAATAATAAACAAGTGCTTTATGTTCTGTGAGTATTTTTGATTTCATATCATGCATTTTTAAGATGGAAATGGACACCTAAATGCAAGTCATAATCTGGAAAACTATTGACCATTCAAATGTAAATAGAGGAAATAATTATCAGTGAATTTGCTCATTGTCTCATCCTACTGTAAGAATTTGGTTTCCCACAGCCCCATACTCCCTTCTACTTAGAGGAATAACCATACCAACAGGAGTTAGGCATAGGTGGGGAGGAGGTTAATGTTAGGCCTGGAGCACCTTGGTCTCCAAGGGTAGTAAGGAAGAAGCTGAGCTAGATGGAGTAGAGGTGAAGGCATGGAGTGGGTCCCCTAAACCAATGCATGTGACACAGCTGGATCCCCACACTTCATCCTCCATGGAGGAGGTGCTTCATGTCAGCCATCTGTGACCTCCTCAGGTCCCGGGGGTGGCATCCCTCCCACCAGCTGAGCATTCCCGCTCCCCCACCGAGGCTTCCTTCTCTATTCAGTTGGCTGTTTGTAGTAGCTTCTCTTCTGGTCTGGGAATGTTGTGTTTAAAAATGCCAACAGTCAATGAAGACCGATAAATAACTATTTCCCATAGTCCATGCTCCCTGTGTCCCCAGAAGAGGAACTGTTCTGCCCTTCCTAGAGTTGGGCATAGGAGCCATTGTTAGGGCCAGGCTGCCTCAGTCTCCAAGGATAACAAGGAGTTGGGCAAACCGGGTATGAGGGTGTGGACTCAGACACTGATAGCATCTTGAGGTGATACTAGTGTATGAGCTCAGGCTTTGGTGGAAGGCATCACATTTTTGTATGTGTTCCCTCAAAGTTTCTGTAAGAGGTCTGTTCTTTATGGAAAGCAAGGTTGATCAGTACAGGAGGGTTACTTGGTAGGGAACAGCTGTTGTTCAGAAAACTTGTCTGATAGCACCTGATATGAGTACCTTAGAAGTATCTGCACACACTTCTAAACAGCTTTAGATCTTTTACTTCTGTGTCCTAGCCTCTTGAATCTGCAACTAGTTTCCTCACCCTCAATCAGGAAACCAATCAGAAATGATCCCCCTAAAAGCACTGAATATAGAAAAACTATGACAATCTAGCTGAAAATCACACCATTTGCCTCTTCTAGTAAAGGATCAATTCAGCGATCACACAGGGAGGGAGCAACAGAAGTCACATAAGAACCGGCAGAGGCCGTGCAGGAGTCCACCACAAAGCAAGGATGAACTGGCCTCCAGCGCCCTGTCCTGGTCCTGAGTGAGGCTATCTGGTGTGCTGGGCAGGTAGATTTATTTGTAGTTTTTTTCCTTTACCTAGAAACCCTCTTAGCCCAGTTTCAATGTGCCATGAAGATCTTTTGTTACTGAATGTGTCCTCTTTTGACAGCTCTCCCAGCATGGCCCAGAATGGATCTGGAGCAGTGGAGGTTGAGCTGGTGACAGCCCAGGTCAGGAAGGCCTCAGGCTTGGCTTGACCTGCAGGCTCTTCTGCAGTCTGTGTGTGGGCTGATGGGGCTGATGGGCAGGCCTCTCCCGGGCAAGGCCACCTCTCTGTGACAGTCCTAAGCTGACATATCATGAGGAGATGTCAGCTTGAACACTCACCTGTTGAAAACTGCTGTCTCCACCTCTTTTGGGGTTTCTGCAACTCAGTTTGGCAGCTTAGCTTGGGGGCTGCAAACTCCAGCTCTGACCTCTTCAGTCCTTGGGCAAGTTTTTCCATTCTTTTCATTTCCTTTCCCTTCCTTTTCTTCCTCTGTCTCTCCCTCTCTCCCTTCTCCCTCCCTCTCCATCTCTCCCTGTTTCTCTCCCTCTCTCCCTGTTTCTCTCCCTATCCCTCCCTCTGTCCTCTTTAGCCCTATCAACTGTGTCTCTATGAGTAACTTTTTTTTTTTTTTTTTTTTTGACAGCACTGGGGTTTGAACTCAAGCTTGATGGGCAGGCACTCTATCACTTGAGCCATGACCCCAGCCTTTCTTTCTTTCTTTCTTTTTTTTTTTTTTTTTTTTTTCAATAGGAGCTCTGAGTTTTAATTTTTTTTTTCCTCAAGGATTTTGAGGATACAAAAGAAATTTCCATTCAAAAATTTAACACAGCCTATACTCCTAGCTACTCAGGTGACAGAGATCAGGAAGATCATGATTTGATGCCAATCCAAGCAAATAGTTCGTGACACCTTATCTCAAAAATACCCAACACAAAAAAGGACTGGGGACTGGCTCAAATTTTAACACAATAGTGGGAGGCTGAGCTTGGGAGGATAGAGGCTCAAGGCCAGCCTGGGCAAACAGTTCTTGAGACCCCCATCTCCAAAATAACCAGAGCAAAATGGACCAGAACTGTGGATCAAGGTGTAGACCACCTGCTTTGCAAATTCGAAGCCCTGAGTTCAAACCCAGTTCTACAAAAAAAAAAATTAATACACTAAAGCTGTTTAAATAAACAAAAGAATTAATGCAGATTATAATTCTCGTGTTAAGTCATAAATGAACTATATTTCAGGTTTTAAAAAATATTAAAATGGAATTACATTAAGAAGAATAGTCTTAAAAATAGCACAGTACAAGGAATATGAGAAAACTGGCATTGTGATCACTAGTGCAAAGGAAGAAAAAAATTGAGTGGTACCAGCAGACTGGTTAAAAGTACTGCAACTAAGGGGATTGAGGGGGAGAGGCAGCGGGGGCAATGGAACTAGTGTACAATGTCTAATTGGAATTCTCACTATGAATCCCCCAATAATGAATGCATCCTAATGAATTTATTTTTTAAAAAGTGCTGCAACTACATGGTAAAATGTAGTTTTTAATTAGGTTTTAGTTTTATGGGATACAATATAATGTTTTGACACATTCTGGAATGAGCAAGTTAGGTAGTATCTACTTTGTGATGAGAACGTTGAAATTAACTCTTGTAGCAATTTAAGAATATACAGTGCATTATTTTTAACTATAGTCACCTTGCTATATACTTGTTATTTTTTCCTGAATTCATTTTAAAGTCATCATACAACAAGGCATATTATGTTAACTTTTATTTTTAAGCGCATTCCTTATGTAGCATTTTACTTGTATCTAATGACAGAACAATTTTTAAGACTTCAACAATGCAAAGAAGTTTCATTTTGCACAGATTTAAAGATGTTACTCTATAAAACTAATAATTCATCAATACATATTCCTTAGGAATTCTGTAACATTCTCTTCTAAAAGCTGTTTGGCAATTCAGCCTCCTTTTCACAGCTGCTTGTAGTTGGGCTTTCCTTTTAAGAAGTATCTTCTTGTTTCTAGGCACTTGTCCGTTTAGGACCTGCTCCATTTTGGGAGGCACAAGGGAGCACAGCACAGCCCAGTCAGTGACGGGGAGGCATCATCCAAGTTTCTTAGCCTCATATCAAGTAGGAGGAAAGTTCAAATCTTGTGAAGTTGAGGCAAATTGATGATACAAAGTCATTTGAGCAGCACCTGGCCCAGATGAGAACTCAGTGCTGGTCACTCTGCAGCTCCTTATGTTTTTATTATGTTTTGTTTGGGGTAAGGCCTATTCTCCGGGTTCTCTGGAACCATTTGCCCTTAGGCCAGACGGCTGCTGAAAGTATCCGGTTCCACAGCTGACCCACCAGGCACCTGGCTTCAAGCATCCTTTGACTTGTACTTTTAAGTCATTTTGGCTGTTTTAATAAATTAGTTGAATCTGTCTAGTATGTATTACTTCTTGAGATCCTCACACCAGTCTTAGCTGCCCATTTTACAAATGAAAAAGCCAACCTGATGTCATTCCCCAAGAGCAAAGCCACCCAGCTAGACAGTAGTGGGAGCTGCCAGTCACTGTTGGGGTTTGAACCTGCAGGAACTCAGCTGACCACAACTCAGAGCCCCACAGTGACTCACCCTCAGTTTCTCAAGCTGACATTCAGTACCCATCAAACTCCCTAGTTCCCTTTCCTCAGCTCCTGTCAACTACCCATACTACTTTGTCTCTATGAATTTGACTAAGTAACTCACATGTGGAAATATCCAGTGTTTGTCCCTTGGGACTGGTTCATTTCATCTACAACAGTGTTCCCAAGTTTCATCCATGCTGCAGCATGTGTCAGCATTTCTTTTTTAAGGGTGCATAATATTCCATTGCACGTGTCATGAGGATGGTTTTGAATGGGACCTCACACTCTGTATATGTCTTAGGGTCCTGAGATCAGTTGGCAGTCCCTCCCCAGCATCACCAGGCATGGGCACAGATGATAGTATGTGCTCCCATCTGGGAGGCACCTGGAAAACTCACCAATTCCCCACCGCCTAATCAAGGCTTTAAATGCCACTGTTAACCTTGAGTTCTATATTTACTTTGTGTAATCTGGGCCCTTTGCCCCTGCTAGGCACCTCTCCCAAAGGTGAGGGGGCTGAACTAGACCTTCCATCCTTCCAGCATCTCCTATGCTACTGGAAGTAAAGGTCTAGGCCACTTACCTCTCAAAGGCCAATATGCAGGAGATGAAAGTCGGTAGGAAGGAATCAGGTTTATTCAAGGGCTGGCATCTTGAGAAGATGGAGGGGCTCAACTTCCACATTCTGTGTTGGACTCAGTGGTGCAAATGGCTTTTATGTGGAGGGAAAGGAGGAGCAAGGAAGACAGGCTATGTGCTGAGCAGGGTCTTTGCCATCCAGGGCACGTGGCTCCTTTTCCCGGCCCCCTGGATCATTGCAGTGGACCTTAGGCCCTGGGCCACCTCCTGCAGTTCTCCTCTGAAAGCTGGTGCACAAAGGCAAAGCAGGAGCAGCATCAATGCCAAGGCCATCAATGTTCTGGGTTTTAACGTCTTAGCCATCTCGATGGGGCTTGTCTACAGCGAAAAGATTGGGGAGGGCTGCGAGCAAAGGGAGAGGAAGCAGAGGACACCTCCAGAGGAGCACTGCCGCTCCACCTGCCATGTTAGCAGAAACCTAGACATGGAAGAACTTGTAGATCTGAAGGAGACGAGGACCTCCAGGCAGGGGCTGCTGGGCCGGGTTCACTTGAGACTGCCCCCTCGGAATCCTGCTGGAGAGGAGCCCCTCAGGTTAGCCAGCTACGGGGGGTGGAAGTCTTTGGATGCTCCCCCAGAGGAGGATGCTTCCTGCTCCTCTGCAGATCCCACCTGCACCTGTGCAGATGAAGATCTCATCCTGCCAAGACCCTCGATTCCCACACCCCAGCTCACCCCACTCAGGCAGCCAGGAGAGAGACCTCACTCCACATCCTGTGGAAGTGGAGTGGGGGCGGACAGTGGGGAACGCAACAGAGCAGGGAGAAGCCACGTTCACACCGTCAGTGGGATAGTACAGGAAAACGTCCACAACAACAAACCCGTTGCTTTGGTGATTTGGGGGGAGGGGAATTGGAGTGTGAGGTGATGAACTGCCTTCCCTCCCCATCTTTAGTCTAACGATCGTCCTTTTCACACGATTTTCTCCATATGCCCTCTCCTCTCCTCATGTTCTATGGGTTGACTCAGATAAATCTAAAAACGTGCAGGAAGAGCAGATAGCACTCTGGAGAGGGAGGCCCCACCCAGCAGGGGATTTACTGGCATTGTCCGTTGTATCCCTTTGTCCCCCACAAAAGCCCTCACACTCCCTGAGCCCTTGAAGATGAAGATTTGAGAGGAGAGGTCTCCATTTTCCCCAGGACTGTCCTTGAATGAACCTGTTTCCTTCCAGCAACTTCTGTCTCCCAGGTGTTCTGCAGAGCGGTGAGCAGTATGGACCTCAGATCCCTGTAATGGTTAATTACCAGGATGGTTAATTCTTCTTTAAACCAAGACTCCTGAGACCAAGGATCTCTGAAACAGGAGGGTTTATCGAGCCTTACAAATGCCAGCCAGAGAAAGGATCAGGTCCTGGAACCAGGTCCAACACTTCCAGCGGCTGGGCTGGAGAGCAGCTGGGAAAATGGTGCTGGACCTAGTGTTTAGAGTGTTTTTACAACGAAAACCTGGAGAAGGAAAGCAGAAGTTGTTTCCACTGGACCTGCTCGGGCTGCGGAGGGGAGAATTGGGATGCTGGCAGCAGGAAACGTTGTGGAATGGGAGGGCAGTAGGGACTTCTGTCCAGATTGTTGGGGTGTGAGCAGGATGCAGTGGCTCCTGGTGGGTTTTAAATCCAGGTTTTAACATACATTCAGGAATGTGGACAACTTGTTGGCTTGGCCCTGCAGCTGTTCACTGATTGACTTTCCCGATCTCTTCCCACCTCTGTCCTTCTGCCCTTATAATTAAGTTTAGGACATCCCATCCCAGTATCTTCCTCCTACCACTACTTTCCCTCCTTATAACTTGCTTTTGCTAAAAGAAGTAACTTCACTTGAGTCTGTACATTCTCTGTCTTCATTTTACATACATCTCCTTTGCTCTTAGCATTCTCTCCTGCAGTCACTTTGTAGCCATCTTGGGTTCCCAAAAAGGGACAGGACTGATTGATAACATCATGACAGGGGCTGAAACTACTTCCAAAGAAAGGAACAGCAGAGCCTGGAAGGACAGACCACCTCCCAAATGATGACCTTTACCTATGATGGTGATGCTGCTGCTGGAGCAGAAGTGATCATCTCGGGAACCAGATTGCTCTCCTCAAGTAATGACAGTGATAACAATGCCAGAACCCCTCACAGAACCAGAGCCAAGATAATGATGAAGCAGGCCATGTTTGCTGAGGACTGTTTTTAATTACATGAACCTCTCATCTCCCACCTCAATTATTCCTCACCAATTTACCATCTACCTGCAGCTCAGTTGGAGCTCTTGCGCTCACTCAGGACAC